TGACAAAGATAGGTCACGGGACAGAGGGAGGGAAAGTCAAGGGCCCATAGTTCCCTGATGTGTCCAGGGCATCAACTCACAGGCTGGGGAAATTCAGGCAGTATGTTTTCTTTATGCCAAATATGAAAGTTCTTTAGGTCAAGACCCCACTCAATGGGTGTGCAATGGATAAATGAGTGAATGGGTGGATGGAAAGGTGGGTGGCTAGATAGATCAGGCGGAATGAAAGGACTGGGTGCACAAATGAATAATTAAAGGATAGACAGATGCTGTGGAGGGACAGAAGGGAGGTAAAGGAGTGGGTGGGTGTGGAAGTGAGTGGATGGATGAACAAGGGTAGCTGATGGGTAGATGACATAATGGATGGGTGGATGGCTACATGGGTGGATGCGTGATATTCAAAAGGTGTGCGTCCCAGCTAGGTGTTCCGGGGATGTGTGGGTGGGTGGATGGATGGATGGAGGGATGGATGGATGGAGAAAGGATGGGCAGATCTGAAAGGAGGCAAGATTGGAAACAGCACCAAGTCCTTGGTTCTGCTGCAGGATCTTTCCGGGGAACCAGGAAGGCTCCCTTCCCTAAGGCGGGTGGTAGACCTAGGAGGTCCCCAGCTCCCCCCACAGACCCTGTGAACTGACAGCACCCTGCTGCAGCACAGGCCTTGCTAAGACCCCTAAGCCCAAGCAAAGAACGAGGCCCAAGCATGCCTGGTCCCCAACCACTAAATGCCTGTAATGCCCCAGTTATTGCCACTAACAAAGACACCTCACAAATGCCTAAAATGCTCCTGGGGTGGCATCACTTCCACTGAGAGTCACAATTAGGGAGCATATGGACAGCTCAGGGCCAAGAAAGTAGGGGTGTGTGTAGTGGGCCCCTCTTTCTGCTGCATTCTCTGGATGGCATAGGTCTGGCAGTTCCTAAGTGCCCAAAATGCTCCCTACTCCCCACACTGCTCTTCTCCTGCTGCAATTGCAGTACCTGGCCGGGTCTCTAGCAGCTGGGGTCTTTCTGCCCCTTCCCATTGAGGAACGGTGTATAGCCAAGAAAGGGAGCTATGCCCTCTGGGCTGGCCCTGCCCTGCCTGGTCTCCTGGGCGCCACTTGGCCAGCTCACGCTCCCTCTCCCCTTGGCCTGTGCACTCCTGCCCCCTGGTGGGAGCTTGGACAACTTACAGTGCACAGGCCAGGGCGGGGTGGATGGAGGCTTTTCCCCGCAGCCAGAGGACTGTGCATGTGTGCAATGTTTGGGTGTGAGTGTGTGTGCGCACATGCTCATGCACTCACACTTCACTTGGCCTAAAACATTAGAGATGGAGGAAAACTCTGAAAGGTCCAAAGCAGCTCCTCAAATGGAAGGGGTTATTATTGTAATTACTGTGATTACTGTTATCAAGATTATCATGCTTGCCTGAAGTCTTGTACAAAGCAGGCCTATTTTACGTCAGCTTGTTGTTTGTGTCTGAGGGACTTCATCTTTGCTTCTAATAACTAACATTTGCAGGGCTCTTGATGTTGCAAAGCTGTGTCTCATCCTTCGCCTGTTTCAACCGCACAAACAACCCCGGGAGGTGGGAAGTAATGAGAGCAGAGGCTCAGAGAGGTTAAGTGGTCTGTCCAAGGTCACACGGCTAAAAAACTGCGGAGTCATGATTTGAACCCAGTCACCTGACTGAAAATTCCTATTCACTTCCCCACATTTTTTACATCTCGTCTCTTGGGAGAGCAAAGGCTCTTTATTACACTTTCGCTCTTTGCCGCTGATGTTTATTGAAAAGTCCATGTTGACCTGGAGAGAAGGGAAGCGCTTTGAAGACCTGAGTGTCACAGGTGACGTTCGGCACCCCAGTTTAGATGATGAGTTCACCTGGGCACCTCCAGGTCCCCGGCAGTGAATGGCAAACATGTGGCCATCATGGCTAGTGGCCCAGCTGGGCTGATGCCAGCATCCCTTGGTCACTACTTACCCCCACCCTCCTCTGGGTGTGGCACAGCACCAGCTGCATCTCTGGGAAGGGTGGGCAGGTCACACACAGAGGGACAAACGGGTACAAGGTGGCTTTGCAGGGGCTATTACAAAGCACACACACTCTGTAGCCTCCCTGTGAGGTTACATGATGTTCTGGGCACTCAGATTGGAGTGTGTCTCACCCAAAAGCAAGTCAGCTGCCCTGCCCCACCCCTCAGGCCCTGACTCCCTTCCCATAGACCTGGCAGAAACCTTGGTGGAAGGCCCAAAGTAGGAAGTGTGATAAGGCCTGTTCAGGTCCCGGCTGCATTCCATAGATAGGCAGGCCCAGTGAGAGCCGGGAAAGGACAGGGACGTCCCCAGGTCACCCAGCCACCTGGAGCAGCATCAGCAGGTGGGCCCCTGACTCATAGGCCTCCGCTCTGGTTTTAGCCCCAGGTGGAGGCACCACCCCGCTCACCCACCCCAGCCTCCCTGAGTCACTGCCTGCCTAGGGCACCCAAAGCCCCTGGCCCAGGTTGATGCCCCAGGGGATGCCCCAGATGCTGAAGAAACTCACTTCCAACCTGGGAGCCTGGGAGGCCAGGCCCTTTGGATGGAAAGCTGAAGGTGGCTCAGGAATCTGAGGGCTGGGGTCTGGGGACCTGGATCTGGGCTCTGGACTAGCATTGTGGGCTTGGCTGGTAGCTGCCTTCCCAGGGCAAGTATATGGTGGGGACACAGCTGCCCAAACTTTCCCACTGACCTTCTGCAGCAGACAGGCCCTGTCACGGAAATAGCTCCTTACCTGGGCAGCTCAATTCTGGAAAAGTCTCCCCAGAAGACTTTGGTCCCACAGGCCTTTGTACAGAATCTTTGTTGGTCACACATCTCCCAGGTGCTGACCTCATTTCTTCTGTGTCTCTCCCACCCCAGTGGACACCTGCCAATTGTCAGCCCCTCCTGCTCACTTCCTGAGCCACGGGCTACACTCCGAGAGTCTGGCTCTCCTCTGGCTTAGTCAAAAGGCAGAGGCTTGAAAGGACTTGAGAGTAGAGTAAGCACCTAGTAGTAGCTGTTGTGCCCATGAATTAAAGACCCCAATTCGGGGAGGCCCAGGAGGGTAAGGAGATGGTGGGCCTGGCGCACCCCACCCTCAGGGGCTCGTCTCACTGTTCATTCCAGCCATGAGGTGGAGGCAGCAGGCTCCTTGCTTTAGGGTTGGGAGAGTTGTTCTGAGCAAGGCCCTGTCACCTGGAGAAACGTGTGCAGGCTCAGTGGACAGGGTTTGCCTGGGCCTGGGCTCAGGCCACCACCTGGTTGTCCTGGCGGGTTCCTCCAGAAGCCGACCCCGAGACAAGGAGTTTATTTTGAAGGTCATTTCAGGAAGCACTGGGGAGCATGGATCTTTCTGGCGATGCGGGTCCCCCCGGGGGTAGCCCCCTCTGCCGGGCACCGTTGGCTGTCCGAGGTGCTATAGTAGATGACTGCTCCCAGTGCCTGTGGGCCTGACCCCACAGGCCGGCCTTGGAGTCAGGCTCCTGACCCGAGTCCCACCTGTGAGCACAGGTGGGTGTCCTCCTCTCTCTGGCCCTCAGTTTCCCAACCTGTCAGATGTAACAGGATAGTGACACGTACAGTGACCCCCTTACTAGTCAGCTATCGTCACAACAGTGCTGCCTCACACACCTGCCTGACTCAGTCACCTACAACAGCGGTCATTTCTTTTCATGGGGGCGGGAGGGGGTTCAGCTGCGGACCCGAGAGCCGGGTGGGCTCAGCTCTGCCATGCTCACCCCTCAACCTTATGCTGGGGTGAATGGGGAGCCTGGGCCTGTTCATAGTGACAGTCGTGGCCCAAACATGCCACATCTTTGTGCGGAATGGAGCAAGCCCCACTGTCCAGGAGAGAGGCGGTGTGCTCCTCCCGGAGGCGGGGGAGCTGCAAAGGTCCTGGGCAAAGAGCAAGGACGTGCACCCTGCAAAGACCCGGGCCCGGGGTTCAGGCTCCGCAGCCCCTCTGGAGGTGGCTGTGACATTCTCAGCAAGCAGAGTGTGTGCCCAGGAGCGTCCCTTGTACACTGTCAAGTACTCGGAGCTGGTTATGTGGCTTCAAGAGCCTTCTGAGTCTGCAGGGCCCCCACCTGGGTCTGGTGTTGCGCGCTGGCACCTGTCGTCTTTCAGGATGGGTGGCCCTGTTTGGTTTCCCAGGGGAGGGAAGGCAGGAGGTGGCTGTTGGTTGTGGAGTCCTTTCGAGGCAATTGCAGCAGTCTCGTGGCCTCCGCACGAGTGCCCCAAGCACATGGCGCCCCCCCACCCTCACAGCAGAGGACTGGGCAGGAGGCAGAGAAAGGGCGGGCTCCCCATCTCCTGATTCACCCCTTTACCCTTCTCTTGTTTAACCAGCCTCCCCACCGCCGCCCCAGGGAAAAGCAGACACAGGTCAAGGGCAAATAAGTAACTAAAATCAATAAAATTAAGTTTTCGCCTCGGGTCATCCAAGGGCCCACGCTCTAGAGACTTAATATTGCTGTGAGGCATTTTCCCCACACGCACGGACTGCAGACTCCTCGCTCCCCAGGCCCAGGGGACAGCCACCTGGCCCCGTCCCTCTGCCACCTGAGTTCTCGAAGAACCGGAATGCCCAGGTCCAGGGACTTGGCTCTACCAGAGGAAGTATAGAAAATTATGTCAGCCAAGAACATTGACATTTTCCCCCCAAAACTATGCCAAACCCCAGTTGTCAACATGAATGAAAGCAGGGCTGCTCGGGGGGCATTGGGAGGTGAACAGAGCCCTGCCCACTGCCCTCCTGTGAGCATGTCTGGAAACCACTGCTTTAGAAGTCCCTGAAGGCTGGCACAGAGACACTGGTCCCCCAGGGCCTAGGAAAGCAGACTGTGCCCATATCCAGGGGCACAGGGGTGTTCAGATAGTGGCCACTTCTTCTGACCAGGCCGAGAGCTGAGCATTATTCTGGTTCCCTGGCAGGTGCCCGGCCAGGCTTTCTGTCCCCACCAAGCCTCAAAGCCACCACCCATGTCTCCTCACAGGCCGACGCCAAGATGGTGTGCGACGTGGTGAGTCGGATGGAAGACACCGAGCCCTTCTCTCCAGAACTGCTATCGGCCATGATGCGGCTCTGGGGCGACTCGGGGATCCAGGAGTGCTTCAACCGGTCTCGGGAGTATCAGCTCAACGACTCGGCCAAATAGTGAGTGTCCTGGGCGGGAGGGTGGCCGCCGGCCGAGCAGGGACTGGCATGGGAGTTGAGGATGAGTGAGGCTGAGGTCAGAGCTGCTAGGACAGGTGACAGGGAAGAACAGGACGGTGGGGGCACAAAATCGAGAGACATATGGGCAGAAAATAGCTTACACGGTGCCACCTGAGTTCTCCCAGCACTCCCAGCCTGCATCCCGGCTCCTCCTCCTGTCCAGGCCTCTGCACCCGTGGGCCCTCTGCTGGACCACAGGAGGCTCACCCCTTACTCCCTTCAGCCTCCACTCGAACATCAACCTGCTTGAGAGATGTTCCCCACCATCCTATGTCAAAGAGCAGCCCCCAGGAATCCTCCCCTATCATCTGCCTGATTCCTTCTGATACCACCTCCTAACAGGCTATAGATCTGACCTATCTGTTAATGATCTGACGCACACACACTGTTGGCCTGTTTACTGCCCCATCCCCAGCACCCGGGCCGTTGGCAGGTAGTACGTACAGTAGGTGCACAGCCCGCTGTGGCCTGTGGGAGGCTCGGCTAGCGCCAAGACACAGAGGCTCAGCCAGCCTGGTTGTCTGTCTAAACAAAGGAGGCTTCCCAGCTTGGATGTCAGACCAAGACCAGAGGCTCCTCAGCCCTGGTGTCCCAACTGGAGATGACGGGACAGGGTCATTTTGAAACCAGCCCAGGTTCTAAGCGGAGGCAATGACAGCAAGGGAGGGGCACGCAGAGAGAGGTTAGGAGAATTGGGAGGGGCTGGAAGGGGCTACTGCAGGCAGAGACCCGAGCCCACACCCGCAGGCCTGACGAGGAGGCTCGGGGCGGCCAGAGCCTCCAGATCAGTGCTGCAGCCTCAGCCCCCTCCGTCCACACAGGAGAGGAGGCTGGAGGCCCGTCTAAGAGCAGGGGCTCTGGAGCCAGTTACAGCTCTGCCCTGCCCAACCCCATGGACGTCCACAAGCCAGGGAGCCGGCCCCTAGCAGGTCCCAGGGCAGGTGCTGATGAAGCACAACCCCTCCACTTGCAGCCAGGAACTCAGGCCGTCCTGTGCCTCAGACACCCGGGGGTTCTCCCGTGTGGGCTGAGTGTGGCTTCCTGCCCCCGGGCATGAGGAGTGGAGGCCTGGGCAGCCCTTGGGGTGCCAACCCAGCTCCCTCCTTCCTCGTTTCCCAGATCTCACCCTGGCTTTGGCTTCAAGTCTAACCCATACAGACCCCAAAGTCCTTCCAGGTGTTTGGCCTGTGCGGGCGGGGCAGATGCTCGGGGCCTCTTGGAAGTGCTATAGAGACTGGTTGGAGCGTGGACTCGAGCCAGTTGTCTGGGTTCAAGGGCAAGGTACTGATCTTCATTGACTCTCAGTTCTCTAACCTCCCGAATAGTACATTCAACTTGGAAATTAGAGATGAAACACGATCACGCATGTGAAGAATAGAGCCCAGCTGTTGGCTATTATTATTTTGTCGTGAATAAGTGACAAAGCAGCATCATAAACACATTAGTCTCATTGAAAAGTCGGATCTCGTCTGAGTGCACCTGGAACTGCGCGCAGAGGTCCTTGTGGTCCAAATTAGAGGCTCTTTGAGGATGTGTGGCCACCCCCCACCTTCCACAGCTGGCCCTGGACAAGGGGGTGCCATCATTCCTACAGTGGCCTGCAAGGGGCCCTGGCTATGAAAGGGTGTGGCCCAGCAAGCCGGAGTAGTGCCCAGAGCTTGCTCCACAGCCCCCCGTGTGTTGCCATTCCCAGCTACCTGGACAGCCTGGATCGGATCGGGGCCACCGACTACCAGCCCACTGAGCAGGACATCCTTCGAACCAGGGTCAAAACCACCGGCATCGTAGAAACCCACTTCACATTCAAGAACCTTCACTTCAGGTAAGGCCCAGGGACTTCTGAGCCCCAGCCGGGGCGCTGAAAAATGGCAGATGCCATACTCTCAGCCTTGGCCCCAGATAGCGACCTACCGCAGGAGCTCTCACGCTGGGACAGGCAGTTAGCTCTGAGAAAGGGCCTATCTGTTTTGCACCAAGTTCAGGGCTGGAGTCACAGGGAGGCTTCCTGGAAGAGGGGTCCTGGAGTAGGTCTCTGAGGAATGAGAAGGTTAAACCAACAAAGGAGGGGAGCCTGTCCATGGGTGACCTCTGAGGCGAAGGAGGTGGATCACCTCCGAGGCCACCTTGTGGAGAGGGGTGGGAATGAGAATAGGTTCACCCAAACAATATCCGGGAGACCCCCAAGGACCCACATAATCTCAGAACTGGAAGGAGCTTAGGGATCAGCTGACCCACCTTCTCCCAGCACATAAGGGGAAATTAAGGCCTGGGAAGAGCAAGACTGTCCCCAAGAACAGAACACAGCTCGAGCCCATGGGCTCTGAACTTCTCAGAACAGGAGCCTCAGGTGTGAGACTGGACTTCCCAGACACTGCTGGAGGGCTGTCGCCACCTGGGGTCACCTCCAAGGGCTGAGGCCTGGGAGCCCCTGTCCTGCCCCCACCTGCCTTCTAGGTATGATTTCTGGGTGTCGGGTGGAGCAGGAAGAGAGGCCAGGAAGAGTAGACAGGTATGAGCCCTGGGTCCTGGACCCCAGCCTGCCTAGGAGGGCTGAATCCCAGAGCTCTTGCCACCCACATCCCCAGTCCCTGCCTGTTCTCATCCAGACCAAGGGGCTGGGGCTCTGTCTCCTGGCCCCTGAGCCTGCCAGGCAGTCTCTCCGCAAGGCCATGGGCACTGCCTTGGGCACAGGTGTATCTAGGCCTCCCCAGAACCTGGGGAGCACAGCAAGGGGCTGAGAGGCCCCACGAGTCTCTTGCCTCCCAGTCACGAGGCCCCACGAGGCCTCTTGCCTCCCAGTCACCTCAGTCTCTCCCTCTCTCCCCTCGGAAGCACCAGGTGTGAACCTGGGCTCAATGCTGCCCAGCAGGCAGAGGCCATCAGCTAGTGCCCTATATTTCAGGTGGTGGGGCAAGATCCTGGGGAGGCAGTGAAAGGGGAGAACCAGACCTGGGTCCTTGCCCCGAGTCCACTCTGGTCTCTGGTTGTGGTCCTCTGTCTGGAGGGCCCAGCGTCCTTGTGTGGGTAGGGCCTAGCCCTTCTCAGCTGTGTGCCCATGGGCTCCCCAGGCCTGGGAGGCTGCAGAGCTCTTTTCCCGAGGCATGCAGGGTATGAGATTGAGCCCTTTGATGTATGTTTTTATTGATTTCAGAGAGAGGAAAGGAGAGGGAGAGAGAGATAGAAACACCAATGATGAGAGTCATTGATCAGCTGCCTCCTGCACACCCCCTGCTGGGGATCGAGCCTGCAACCTGGGCATGTGCCCTGACCAGGAATCGAACCTATGAATCCTGGTTCATAGGTTGATGCTCAACCGCTAGGCCATGCTGGCCAGGCAAGATTGAGCTCTTACTTCCAGGGATTGGCCCCACCTGTCCACAGTCTCTTCCCACAGCCCTCATGCCCTCTGGAGGATGGTTTCTGAGAGGAACAGAGGGAGGCACCTATGGGCTGAGGAGAGGTGGCACAGGGCAGAGGGCAGAGGCTTTGTCTTCGGACAGATCTGACCCAGACCCCAGCTCTACACACCAGCCCTCACCAGCACCCTGGGCACTTAACCTCTAGGTGCCTCATTTTTCCTCCATGTAACAGGTGACAGTCCCTGCCTGTCTCCTTCCCTGGCTGGTTGGGACATTGCCCAGAGCACAGACATGAACAGACACGTTCAGAAAGCCAGGGGCAGAGTGCATGTGATCCTGGCAGGTGGACCTCACAGAGGCATTTCTTAGGGGCCAGATGAGGTGCACCCCTAGTAAAGATCTGAGGTGCGAGGGCAGGTATTCGACTCACTACATGTAAGCACAGCCCAGCTGTGGGACAGAGTGATGGCCGCCCCACCCCACGAATGGCACTGGCAGTCTTTCAGCACCTGGAGCGGGGCTCCTGGGGCAGCTTGGGCAGGCGCCCAGCCCCTCCTCCTCCTGCCCAGAGCTTGACCAGGCACCCCCCACCTGCCTGGGCCCCACTGCCCACCACCCCAGCTTCCCTATCTCCCTGGCAGGCTGTTCGATGTCGGGGGACAACGATCTGAACGCAAGAAGTGGATCCACTGCTTCGAGGACGTCACGGCCATCATCTTCTGTGTCGCGCTCAGCGGCTATGACCAGGTGCTCCATGAAGACGAGACCACGGTGAGTGGCCTGCACCTGCCCGACCTGTGAGGGCACTGAGACCAGACCACGGTGACAGTCCACATGGCTCAGCGGGGGCTGGGGGTTCCGTCGTCGGGCAAACGTCTGGTGATGCTGGTACAGAAAAGACAGCCACAGGCTGGCTGGCGGCTCGGGGCCGAGGGCAGTCTGCTCAGATACCTCTACAGACTTTGGGTCTCGGGCAGTGAGTTTCTCTTTGGTAAACAGGACAGTCACAGAGGCCATGAGGCCAGGACTGAATCAAGCCGATCTTAAAAGAATCAGGGTGTGTCCAGCAAGAATGTGCACAAGACAGAAAGAGCAGTTCTCAGCCCTGACAGCCATCCCTGAGTCTGGCTGGGCTGCTGCCAGGAGAGGCGTTTGGGCGGGCAGTGGGCAGAGTGGAGGGCAGGGAGGCAGCTGCGGCACATCTGGAGGAGGCCGGCCCAGGTTCCTGAGTGTGACATGCGTCGAATGCAGCCTGGGACCTCGGAGAACAGTCAGCTTGGCCTCAGCAAGGGGCACTCACCTGGTGAGGCTGCTCCGTCTCTCTGGTCCTAGTCCTGGTTTGCTGCCGAATTCAGGCGGCACCTCTCCTGCTCTGTTACTGCTGTCTGTGGAATGGGGGTGACTAGTACCTACCTGTGGGGTCACTGGTGAGGGACGGGAGCACCGGCGTGAAGTACTGGGAGCTGTTTCTGGCAAAGCGGCGCCGAGATGGTGGTTGTACTGTGACTGGTGATTGTCCTGACCTGGGGTCCACTGGGAGTCCCAGCCTGGTCTACGGCCCACAAGGCAGTGGGCCTGTTCGCACAGCTTGCCAAGGAAGCCGGGGGTTGGTGTGGTGCACCCCCTAGGTTGCCGGAGACAAGCCCACAGCACCTCCTGGGAGTAGAGCTCCTGGGCTGTGGGTTCACGCCCTGGCACTGGGGCTACACCCTTGGCACTGGTCAGCTCCTCTTTCTGCGGCACGCACAGGCCCTTGGCCTGAGCCTCTGGGTCAGCACTGAGATGCGAGGAGGGCCTCTATCATGGTGGACCTTGAGCAAGGCCTGTCCTCTTTCTGTCTGTTTCTTCATCAGTCCTGCCTGCTGATCCCATGGGCTGCTGTGAAAATTGGTGGGCTGCAGGGTGCAGTGTTATGGGGGGAAGGAGCCGCCGTCCTGAGGGGCCAACGCACAATGGGGCTTTTGGCAGGTGGGGGCTGAAGCCACTGCCTGAGTGGGTGATCTGGACTCGAGCCACAGGCTGGCTTATCCACCTTGCCCTTCCTCCTTCAGGCCCAGCTGTACCCCTGAGTTGGGGCTCAGCAAAGTCCCCCAAGACCTGCCTTGTCCTGGGGGAGACTTCTGGGAACTCAGCCATGCAGCTCTTTCTGGTAATGCCATCACCATTCTGGGTGACCTTGGTAGGTTGTGGCATCTGAGAGCACCGGCTTGGAGGGTGGGCAGGGGATAGACCCGCACCCCTGGGCTGTGCTTGGACCCGACTCACTGACCACACCAAAGCCCAGGGCAGCTCCTGGCTGCCCCCACGATGCCTCTGCGCACAGGGGCTGCCCTGGCACCTGGCACTGTACCGCTGGTCACCATGCTTTCCAAGCCACCATTCATGATCTGATTGGCCACCCCTGTGGTCTGAACTCCATCTACTTGGCTCATCTCTCCCTGCAGTGCCTGGGAGTGGGAAGCAGGGTCATGGGTTTCAAAGAAAGTGAAGGACTCTGGAGAGGGGAGGCCCTTCTCCCTGAACAGGCCTCTGCCCTGGGACCTTGCAAGGCCTGCAGCTCAAACCCAAGTCCCAGGCCTGTCAGTCATGGAACAGGGGCTCTCCCTCACCTCTGCAGCACAGGGTAGCAGCAGAGGGGTGTCTGGGTGGATCTGGCAGCCACGGGGCCAAAGCTCTGTGGCCCTCAGGTCTCCATTAAACATGGGGCTGGGCAGATGCCAGGCCCCGAGCTCAGGCAGCCTTTCCAGTCTGCCTGCCCTGTCTGGCCCAGCCAGCCCTCTGCAAACTCCTCACCAGCCCTTGCTGCCGACCAGGGCACATCTTCCTTCACCTCCTTGCCTTCCTGTTCCTGTCCTGCTCTTTTCCTCACCTCCCTCCTTCCCCTGGGGTGCCCTGCCCCTCTTCACCGGGGCTGGAGCAGGGGGCCTTGGGGAAGCCAAGGCACGTGGGCCCAGGTCAGGAACAGGCTCCTCCTGAGGCCTTTCCTCCCCAAAGAGGACCAGCTAAAAAGCCCAGGAAAGAGCAGTCTCCCTTCCAGGGGACAGGAATGGGCTTCACACCTCGACAACAGCCTACAAAGGCGGCCCATTGCCCATGGCAGCAAGAGCAACACCGTTGCTATAGAACCAAGCCAACAACTGTGTGTCCAGGACACAAGGCAGCACTGGGCATCTGGGAGCAGGACAGATGTGGCCCAGAGTCCAGCGCTGGCTTTGCCACTGTCACGTGGCAGCCTTTCCACTTCCTGCTCCTTAAAATGGTGATGGTGGGAGCTCAGCCTCTTGAGCAGCTGTGAAGAGCACAGGCTCGGAGCTGTTCGAAGGCCTACCCTCGGGACTCCACTCAGTAAATGGCAGTGGTCGGGCTCCCCTGTCCAGGCACATGGCTGAAGGACAAGTTGTTGGCTACGGACGCTCTGCCCTGAAAGCAAGACTAGGCCCCACTGACCAGCCCTAGGTCCCTGGCCTTCCTCTCTGGTCAGCCCTGTGTGTCCCTCCCTGGCCTGGGGAGAGAGTCAGGCTGCCCAAGACAGGGGTCTGGAGGTGGTTCCTGGAGCTCGGCCAGGAGCCCTGGGGCTGGTGGCTGCCCACTCACCGGCCAGCCACCCTGTCCACCGCACCCCAGGAGCCCAGGCCAGTGACCTTGGCAGCACTGGGCCTCAGCCTGCCACAACTTCACCGCCACCACCGTCACCACCGCCTACAGGGCCTTAACTGGCCAAAGCAAGGCCCAAACCATGAGCAGATCTGAGAGAACCTCCAAGCCGGGCAGGTATGAAGCACCTCCCTCCAGTTGAGACCATCAGCTAAGAGTTGAAAGCAGCAGGTCCTCGGGGCACCGGGTGACTTTGCTGTGATGCCTGCCCCGCCCACTTGCCTCTCACCCTCCTCATCAGATGCAGCTTAGGCTGCTCCTTTCCACCCTCAAGTCCACCTCCAGCCACACAGTCCGCAGTCCCTGGGTGGCTGTGGCCTCTGTGAGCCTGCACAGGGGCCCCGGAATGGACCTGCGTTGACTTCCCAGCCCCGAGACTGGTTGAACCAATTTTTCAGGTTTTTTCCTCTCTCTTTCTCTCATGTTTCCTGCTGGGTTTTTATCTTCCTCTATTTTAACCTGTTTTGCTGGGTTTCATCTTGGGGTTCTTCTGGCCCCTCTACTGAGAAACCAGCCCCAATGAGCAGCTCACCCAGAGCCTACCCCCTCTCCCCACCCCCCAGCCACAGCCCAGCCAACTAACCCAATCCCCAACCACACCAAGGCCACAGCAAGATCACCCCCAGACGCTATCCCCCTTGTGTCTGCTTCCAACTCTGGATTAATTCGAGGATCTCTTCATCCTCGGTTAATGTTCCCCAACTGAATGCGTGCACCCCCACCCCCGCTGGCGAATCTGAATGAGACCCCAGTAGAGAAATCTGCATGGCCCTCGGTTCCGTGTAGACATGTTGGATGGTGGTGTGGCCCCTGCCCCGAGTGCATGGTGCATGTCCTCTCCATGAGCTGGAGCCCCTCAGTGACCTCGCTGCCCCACCCCGGGCCAGCCCTCTCCGGGGAGGGGGCTTGGGGCAGCATTCCCCACCTCCCGCCCTGCTCCACCCCGCCCTGCCTGCGTGTGGAATGAAGCGGGGACCACGTCCCGTTTGTCCTGTGGGTCCTCCCACCTCCGTCCCTCAGTGGTGCGTCTGGCCCGTTGGTGGACCTCTCCTTGGCTTGTCCCGCTGTGTGGTGGCCGCGGTGGGTCAGGCCCCGCACACCAGCTCTCACCTGCCTCTCCGCTCTGTTGCAGAACCGCATGCACGAGTCCCTGAAGCTGTTCGACAGCATCTGCAACAACAAGTGGTTCACGGACACATCCATCATCCTGTTCCTCAACAAGAAGGACCTGTTCGAGGAGAAGATCAGGAAGTCCCCGCTGACCATCTGCTTCCCCGAGTACACAGGTAGGGGCGCAGGGGCCTGGCCCCCCCATCTGACATTTAGTCCCACGTACTGTGCCCTGAGGATACTCCAGACTCGACCACAGAGAATCCAACACGAAACCAAAGGCAGCCTCCTGCATCACCCCCAGGGTGCTGTGGTGAGGGGGGCCAGCGAGGCAGCCAGTGGGGCGTCCTCCTCAGGGGGAGCAGGGCCGGAATCCTGGCTGTGTGGTCACAGCAGCCTCTTGGAGCCTCAGCTTGGTCATTTGTAAATAGAGGTTATCAGTGAGGTGACACCACCAAGAAGATGAAGGTTTACCACCAGTGGCTGAGTCCAGCAGCTCAAGCCTCATGCCCCTGGCTCTGCCACTCACAGCAGGTTGTAAAACCTCTCAGTGCCTCAGGGTTCACATCTGTGAGATGGGAATAATCATGATGATTGCCCAACCCTCTCACAGAGTGGCTGGGAGGACCATGGGAGCTAGTGAACATGGAGCGCTTAGCCTGGCAGCTGGCACAGAGTATGCTCACTGAACATTTACTGTTACTGTTAAAATTGTGACTGTAACTAACCAATATCATAACACCTCCTAGTGGTAGTTATAAGATTTCATGGCCTATTGGGGGTGAGAGCTGTGCAGGCAGCCAAGACCTGGCCTCCCTGGGGAGGGTGCTGTGGATGACCTGGGCACCTCTGTTGATATTACCATGGTTTACCTAACTGGGGTGGCAGATCAGCCCAAGTGCCCATCAGCTCTTTCGGATGGCAGGGCCTGGTCAGAGAGGTGAGTGGGCATACCCAACCTGACAAGCCCCTCGTCCTATCTCCCCCTTCCTCAAGATCAGGCCAAC